CCACTCTACAGCCTGGTTCAGTTTGGAGGATGGACCATGGATGATGGGACTTGCAGTACCTTCGCTCACTATCTGAGACCACAGCGACACTCATCCAATTACCAATAAAGACCAAACTTGGCACAGAGAGCCCCCATGACCCACTCTACATACAACTGCAGTTTGGAGGAGGATGGACTACAGATGATGGGACTTGAAGTACCTCCACTCATTTCCCAAGACTGCTGCGACCCTCATCCAATGACCGATCAAGACCAAACTTGGCACACAGAGCCCCCATGACCCTCTACAGCCTGGTTCAGTTTGGAGGAGGATGGACCACAGATGATGGGACTTGAAGTACCTCCACTCACTTTCTGAGACTGCTGCAACCCTCATCCAATGATTGATCAAGACCAAACTTGGCACACAGAGCCCCCATGACCCACTCTACATCCTGGTTCAGTTTGGAGGATGGACCATGGATGATGGGACTTGCAGTACCTTCGCTCACTATCTGAGACCACAGCGACACTCATCCAATTACCAATAAAGACCAAACTTGGCACAGAGAGCCCCCATGACCCACTCTACATACAACTGCAGTTTGGAGGAGGATGGACTACAGATGATGGGACTTGAAGTACCTCCACTCATTTCCCGAGACCGCTGCGACCCTCATCCAATGACTGATCAAGACCAAACTTGGCACACAGAGCCCCCATGACCCACTCTACATCCTGGTGCAGTTTGGAGGAGGATGGACCACAGATGATGGGACTTGAAGTACCTCCACTCACTTTCTGAGACTGCTGCAACCCTCATCCAATGATTGATCAAGACCAAACTTGGCACACAGAGCCCCCATGACCCACTCTACATCCTGGTGAAGTTTGGAGGATGGACCATGGATGATGGGACTTGAAGTACCTCCACTCATTTCCCGAGACCGCTGCGATCCTCATCCAATGACCAAACTTGGCACACAGAGTCCCCATGACCCACTCTACATCATGGTTCAGTTTGGAGGATGGACCATGGATGAAGGGACTTGAAGTACCTCCACTCATTTCCCGAGACTGCTGCAACCCTCATCCAATGACTGATCAAGACCAAACTTGGAACAGAGAGCCCCCATGACCCACTCTACATACAACTGCAGTTTGGAGGAGGATGGACTACAGATGATGGGACTTGAAGTACCTCCACTCATTTCCCAAGACCGCTGCAACCCTCATACAATGACTGATTAAGACCAAACTTGGCACACAGAACCCCCTTGACCCACTCTACAGCCTGGTTCAGTTTGGAGGAGGATGGACCACGGATGATGGTACTTGAAGTACCTCCACTCATTTCCCAAGACTGCTGCGATCCTCATCCAATGACCAAACTTGGCACACAGAACCCCATGACCCACTCTACATCTTGGTTCAGTTTGGAGGAGGATGGACCACGGATGATGGGACTTGAAGTACCTCCACTCATTTCCCGAGACCGCTGCGATCCTCATCCAATGACCAAACTTGGCACACAGAGTCCCCATGACCCACTCTACTTCCTGGTTCAGTTTGGAGGATGGACCATGGATGAAGGGACTTGAAGTACCTCCACTCATTTCCCGAGACTGCTGCAACCCTCATCCAATGACTGATCAAGACCAAACTTGGCACAGAGAGCCCCCATGACCCACTCTACATCCTGGTGCAGTTTCGAGGAGGTTGGACCACAGATGTTGGGACTTGAAGTACCTTCACTCACTTCCCGAAACCACTGCGACCCTCATCCAATGACTGATCAAGACCAAACTTGGCACACAGAACCCCCATGACCCACTCTACAGCCTGGTTCAGTTTGGAGGATGGACCATGGATGAAGGGACTTGAAGTACCTCCACTCATTTCCCAAGACCGCTGCGACCCTCATCCAATGACTGATCAAGACCAAACTTAGCACACAGAGCTTCCATGACCCACTCTACAGCCTGGTGCAGTTTGGAGGAGGATGGACCACAGATGATGGGACTTGAAGTACCTCCACTCACTTCCCCAGACCTCTGCGAACCTCATCACCTGCCGGCTTCAAGCCTTGGTACAAACCCAGCCAGGCCGAAGACCCGTGCCTTCCTCCTCTTCCTCTTGGGGACCCACCTGGCTGCTCATAGTTTTCTCGTGACCCAGGACACGCCAGTCTTGGGGCCTGCTTCCTGCTCACCCGCGCACGTGTGCACCCCGGCACTTCCGAGGGCCTCGTGACAACGCCGCGTGTACTCACCACTGGCTGCTTGCGCTTCCTGCCGGGCCGCCCTGCCTTCCTCGCCGGGATCCCCGGATCTGGCTTCTCGTCTTTGTTCCGGTTCTCATCGGCTTCCTCTTCGCCTTGCTGCTCCGGAAGGAACGGAAAGAGAGGAAGGAAGAAGCGGGTGAGAAGGTGCTCTGGTCTGGCACCGCAAGGCACAAAACCCACTCAGGAAGGAACAGCGGGGGTCTGTGTGTGGGGCAGGCAAAGAGAGAAGAGACACTTCCCCCAAAAGGAAAAAAATAACCTAAGTAAAGAATTATTATTTCTGACCAAAACAGAAGAGAGCAAGTGCAACTATGACCTCCCTCGATCTCAACACTATATTCCTACTGATGCTTCCCAGAATTGGCTTTTTTAGCTTCCGCAGCACACTGGCTTTGGGAGTTGTAGTTCACCTACACCCAGAGAGCACTGGGGACTCAAATAATCTGGACTCAAATAATCTGGACCAATCCGGACCAAACTTGGCACGAGTACTCAATATGTCCACATGTGAACACTGGTGGAGTTTGGGGAAAATAGACCAGGACATCTGGGAGCTGTAGTTGCTGAGATGTATACTTCACCTACAATCAAAGAGCAATCTGAACTCCACCAATGATGGAATTGGGCAAAACTTGGCACACAGAACTCAAATAATGATGGATCTGGACCAAACTTGGCACGAATACTCCATATGCCCGAATGTGAAAACTGGTGGAGTTTGGGGAAAATAGATCAGGACACCTGGGAGCTGTAGTTGCTGAGATGTATAGTTCACCTACAATCAAAGGGCATTCTGAACCCCACCAGATGGAATTGGGCAAAACTTGGCACACAGATACTATCATGACCAAGAAAATACTGGAAGTGTTTGGTGGGTATGGACCTTAAATTTGGGAGTTGTAGTTCACCTACATCGAGAGAGTACTGTGGACTCCAATAATGATGGATCTGGACCAAACTTGGCACAAGTACTCAATATGTCCAAATGTGAACACTGGTGGAGTTTGGGGAAAATAAGACCAGGACATCTGGGAGCTGTAGTTGCTGAGATATATAGTTCACCTACAATCAAAGGGCATTCTGAACTCCACCAATGATGGAATTGAACCCAACTTGGCACACAGAACTCCCATGGCCAACAGAAAATACTGGAAGGGTTTCGTGGGCATTGACCTTGAGTTTGGGAGTTGTAGTTCACCTACATCCAGAGAGCACTGGGGACTCAATGATAGGTCTGGACCAAACTTGGCATGATACTCAAATACCCAATATACTCAAAATGGAATACAGCTGGGGATGGCTAATTATATCATTTGGGAATAGTAGATGCTGGGATTTATAGTTCACCTGCAATCAAAGGTCATTCTGAACTCCACCAACGATGGAATTGAACCAAATTTGGCACACAGAACTCCCATGATCAACAGAAAATACTCAAAGGGTTTCGTTGGCATGGACCTTGAGTTTGGGAGTTGTAGTTCACCTACATCCAGAGAGTACTGTGGACTCAAACAATGACAGGTCTGGACCAAACTTGGCACGAATACTCCATATGCCCAAATGTGAACACTGGTGGAGTTTGGGGGGAAATAGACCAGGACATCTGGGAGCTGTAGTTGCTGAGATGTATACTTCACCTACAATCAAAGGGCAATCTGAACTCCACCAATGATAGAATTGGGCAAAACTTGGCACACAGAACTCAAATAATGATGGATCTGGACCAAACTTGGCACAAATACTCAATATGTCCAAATGTGAAGACTGGTGGAGTTTGGGGAAAATAGACCTAGACATTTGGGAGTTAGAGTTGCTGGGATTTATAGTTCACCTGCAATCAAAGGGTTTTCTAAACTCCACGAATGATGGAATGGAACCCAACTTGGCACACAGAACTCTCATGACCAACGGAAAATACTCAAAGGGTTTGGTGGGCATGGACCTTGAGTTTGGGAGTTGTAGTTCACCTACATCCAGAGAGTACTGTGGACTCAAACAATGATGGATCTGGACCAAACTTGGTACGAGTACTCCATATGTCCAAATGTGAACACTGGTGGAGTTTGGGGAAAATAGACCTTGACATTTGGGAGTTGTAGTTGCTGAGATGTATAGTTCACCTACAATCAAAGGGCATTCTGAACTCCACTAATGATGGAATTGAACCCAACTTGGCACACAGAACTCCCATGACCAACAGAAAAGTATTGTCGAAGACTTTCATGGCCGGAATCACTGGGTTGTTGTAGGTTTTTCGGGCTATATGGCCATGATCTAGAGGCATTCTCTCCTGACGTTTCGCCTCTGAGGATGCTTGCTATAGATCAGTGGTTCTCAACCTGAGGTCCCCAGATGTTTTTGGCCTACAACTCCCAGAAATCCCAGCCAGTTTACCAGCTGTTAGGATTTCTGGGAGTTGAAGGCCAAAAACATCCGGGGACCCCAGGTTGAGAACCACTGCTATAGATGCAGGCAAAACGTCAGGAGAGAATGCCTCTAGAACATAGCCATACAGCCCGAAAAAACCTACAACAACCCAACAGAAAAGTGTTTGTTGGGCTTTGACCTTGAGTTTTCGAATTTTTAGTTCGCCTACGTCCGCAGAGTATTGTGGACTCAAACAATGACAGGTCTGGACCAAACTTGGCATGATGCTCCATATGCCCAAATGTGAGCACTGGTGGAGTCTGGGGAAAATAGACCTTGACATTTAGGAGTTGCAGTTGCTGGGATTTATAGTTCACCTACAATCAAAGAGCTTTCTGAACTCCACCAATGATGGAATTGAACCCAACTTGGCACACAGAACTCTCATGACCAACAGAAAATACTGGAAAGGTTTGGTGGACATTGACCTTGAGTTTGGGAGTTGTAGTTCACTTACATCCAGAGAGCACTGGGGACTCAAACAATGTTAGGTCTGGACCAAACGGCATGATACTCAATATGCCCAAATGTGAACATTGATAGAGTTTGGAGAACATAGAATCTTGACATTTGGGAGTTGTAGTTGTTGGGATTTATAGTTCACCTACAATCAAAAAGCATTCCGAACTCCACCAATGATGGAATTGAACCAAGTTTGGCACACAGAACTCTCATGACCAACGGAAAATACTCAAAGGGTTTGGTGGGCATGGACCTTGAGTTTGGGAGTTGTAGTTCACCTACATCCAGAGTACTGTGGACTCAAACAATGATAGGTCTGGACCAAACTTGGCATGATACTCAATATGCCCAAATGTGAGCATTGCTACAGTTTGAGGAAAATAGATCTTGACATTTGGGGCTAATAGTTGCTGAGATTTATAGTTCACCTACAATCAAAGAACTTTTTGAACACCACCAATGATGGAATTGAACCAAACTTAGCACACAGAATTCTCATGACCAACAGAAAATACTGGAAGGTATTTTCGAAGGCTTTCATGGCTGGAATCACTGGGTTGTTGTAGTTTTTTCCGGGCTATATGGTCGTGTTCTAGAGGCATTTTCTCCTGACGTTTCGCCTGCATCTATGGCAAGCATCCTCAGAGGTAGTGAGGTCTGTTGGAAGTAGGAAAAAGGGTTTATATATCTGTGGAATGACCAGGGTGGGACAAAGGACTTTTGTCGAAGGCTTTCATGGCCGGAAACTGGGTTGTTGTAGGTTTTTTCGGGCTATATGGCCATGTCTAGAGGCATTCTCTCCTGACGTTTCGCCTGCATCTATGGCAAGCATCCTCAGGTCATATAGCTCACTACCTCTGAGGATGCTTGCCATAGATGCAGGCGAAACGTCAGGAGAGAATGCCTCTAGAACATGGCCATATAGCCCGAAAAAACCTACAACAACCCAATAGCATTCATATTGGGGTTTGATGAGCTTGAGTTTGGGAGTTGTATTCACCTACATCCAGAGAGCACTGTGGACTCAAACAATGATGGATCTGGACCAAACTTGGCACAAATACTCAATATGCCCAAATGTGAGCACTGGTGAAGCTTGAGGAAAATAGACCTTGACATTTGGGAGTTAGAGTTGCTGGGATTTATAGTTCACCTACAATCAAAGAGCTTTCTGAACCCCACCAATGATCGAATTGGGCTGAACCTCCCACACAGAACCCTCATGCCTTGAAGGGACTCACTGGCGTGACCCTCCCTCCAGCCTCGCATGCTTTTCATCATTCTCACATGTGCAACGCAGGTCTTCATGACTGGTTTCTTCTTCCTTCTTTGGAAGCTTTTAAGCAGAGGCTGGATGGCCATCTGTCAGGGGTGATTTGAATGCAATATTCCTGCTTCTTGGCAGAATGGGGTTGGACTGGATGATGGCCCAGGAGGTCTCTTCCAACTCTTTGATTCTATGATTCTATGATTCCAGTTCTGCGCTTAGGGACAAGAGCACCCCTTCCTTCCTGCTTTCCTTCTTTGGACAAAGAGCAGCTAAACATTTCTTATGGTTGCAAAAGACTTGGGAGGGGAAAGGCTTTGTGTCCAAGTGGACGCTTTGATCCGACTTGCTCGCTGTTGTCTGAGCCCCCCACGCTGAAAGTTTTATGGGTATCCTGTTGACGGTGTGGCTTTCGTGAGAAGCTGGCTTGCCGAGGAGAGACAGGATATGAGTGCCGGAATCAAGTCTGACTTGGCCACGGTAGTCCACGCTCTGGTTACATCCCGTTTAGACTACTGCAACGCTCTCTACGTGGGGTTGCCTTTGAAGACAGCTCGGAAGCTCCAACTAGTCCAACGCTCGGCAGCCATGATTTTAACAGGAGCGGAGCGCAGGGAGCATACAACCCCCCTGTTGCGCCAACTCCACTGGCTACCGATCTGCTACCGGGCTGAATTCAAAGTGCTGGCGTTGGCCTTTAAAGCCCTAAACGGTTCCGGCCCAAGCTACCTATCCGACCGCATCTCTGCCTATGAACCCACCAAGGACTTTGAGATCTTCCGGGGAGGCCCTGCTCTCGATCCCACCTGCTTCTCAAGCTCGGCTGGCTGGGACTAGAGATAGGGCCTTCTCGGTGGTGGCTCCTCGGCTGTGGAACGCCCTTCCTACGGACATTAGACTAGCACCATCTCTAATGGTATTCCGCAAAAAGGTGAAGACC